AAAAGCCGACGAGGAAGAAGTTGGAGTGAAGCGATCTTTATATAGGCGGAGCAAAATACTTAATCGCTCCGTCTATAGCGCATTATGATTGGATGTTTACGCTATCAATACAGGAGACAAACCAATGGGCCACTGGCTGCTCGCTGTCCCTGCGTGATGGTCCTCGGCAAAAAAAACAACAACATTCTGTCGGCCCCTTAAGTGCGTCGGCCCACCGGGAAAATGCCCGGTATGCCCGATTACCAATCCAGCCCTGGTCGCATCGTCACTAAAGTTTATAATTTGCATTTATTTTTAAGTCTAGCTAGTGTTTAAACCATTCAGCACTCGCGTGCTCTCCTAGAGACGGTGAGCTCATATACACTCAAAGCACACACACATAAGGCCGCCTCACATACAGCTCACAAAATCAGGCTTGTGCTGAGCGTAAGCTATTGTGCAACAATTGCCCCATTGTACAAACAAAAATGCACTGCATGATCAAACATTTAGGTGAGATAATTATATATTTTTGAAAAATGTCTAAAGAAAAATGCCTGTATGAATGTCTGTAAAAATCCTGACTGGAGCATCACTATAAATAATTCTACATGATAAAAAGAAGGCTTCAAAAAGATCCGTATCAGTGATCGTATCGGCAAATACTGCTCTTCCTGTGATCGGTGATCAGCTCCAAAAATCCTGATGGGAGCACCCTAAACATATACAGTCATCCTGCATATACTGATCATTCATACATAAAGCATTGTATTTGGTATTTGAGGCAACATGACATTAATCATGTTAGGTTTCTCACTTTAACAATGTGTGTTTTTATTAGAATGAATCTCCTCTCAACATGTATGGATCATATTTTATCTAAAAAATAAATAAAAAATAATCAAACAAAGCCTGTTTTAAGCATATTTCCATCCCATTAACATAGTGTGAACAGTTCTCTTTTACATTACCATAATGGGAAAAAATTATTAAATTATATAGTATTCCATAGCATATAGTATTTTATACTATTCATCAAAATCATATAAAATTACCTTTATGGTAGTACTAAAATTATCAGAAATATGGTAATGCAGATTTTGTTGGAAAATATGCTTGATTCATGATGATAATTTAAACAACGCAAAAAGAAATCTGAAGAGTTAAAAATACTACTATAAGCAAAATCATTTTTCTTTGGATTTGGAGTTTAAATATTCTTTAAATATTAATTCAGATATTCATATAATTAAAATATAGATATTAAAATATTTTGTGTATGATGGGATGAAACTGTTAGTTGGAGAACTGTATTTTTTAAAAAACAAAATTAACCTCATGACCGTAGACTATTTTGTGAAATGTTTTACTGTGTTTGTTTATGAAATTCTGACTGTGGGGAACTGTGCTAAAACAACCTGTTTTTAAAGTTTGCTTTAAAAACTAGTCTAATTTTACATATCCCTTCAATATTCTGCAGGGCTCTCAGAGTAGCATCTCCGAACCCTCTTCCTCCTCCTCCTCCTCAGTACCCCAGAAGGTCCCCACTGTGGCAGCCGCCGCGGAAACAGGCGGCACTTCAGAGCAGGAACGCAAACTGAAGCAATATTTGGAGGATGAGCGTATTGCTCTCTACCTGCAGAACGAGGAGTTCATGAAGGAGCTGCAAAGGAACCGAGAGTTCCTCATTGCATTGGAAAGAGGTAGGAAGACGCTCACCCACATGCTAAATGGGACAATGAGCAGTTTCTGGCATACTCCACTTCCCCTCCTTTCACAGTTCCACCTACACAAATCCTGAAGAGTCAATTCTTATGCTAATTTACACAACCCGGCTGTGAACGTTGACTGTTTCAGTTTCTCTCCAAGGCCATTAACAGCGTCTATTTCTCACAGCGAGATTTAGTTATGCTCTGTCATGCACATTTTGTGCTTTTACACTTGAACAGTCCTCATTGGATGATCTCATATCCTCATTGAATGCCAAATGTCAAAGACATGGTTTTCCTTCCATAATACCTGCCTTCTGTGTTGTAGATCGATTGAAATACGAGTCAAAGAAATCCAAATCCAGTCATTCATCAGCTAGCATGGAGAACTCCACAGGTAGATATCATTCACCTGAACGGTGTGTGTGCGTGTCTCTGTGCATATGCAAAATTTGCATTTCAAAACCCCCAGTCCTCAATATTTAAGCCCTCCAAAGCCTGACACATGAAATGATAATCAGAAAAATCTAATTTTTAAAATGAAAGTTTATGATGAAATCCTATTAGCTTGTAATGTAAATTAATGAGATCTATGTAACAGTATAGCAGAAAACTTGCATCAGTTGTCATTCTGTATCTCCTAATAATGTAGTAAAATAATATTTACATGCTTAGTTTAATGATCAAAGATCTCTAGTTTTTATTGAGGGGAGCAATACACGTGCTGCAATAAAACACAATGATGATTGAGAGATGTACAAATAAATGTTCCTCAAAAGCCTATTTTATCATATTTGATCCTCATATTTTAACATGATTAAAAAAATCTATGGATAATCAAACCTAAGTTGCTTCAGTGTTTTTTTTTAAATATTACTAACAAAATAAAAGTTATTCTTATGTTTACTTTATAAAAATCAGTAAAGATTTCACAGCAAAAAGACATGCATACCAGGACCTGAAGGGGAACTTCAGGGTCTTTCAATTGCTAAAAAAAACTGTTATATCAATCAGTTGACAAAAGGCATGTAGTAGATTGTGTACAACCTGTTTAAAATGTATAAAATTAACATGCGACCCATTTTGCAACATTTGTGCTATAGACATCAAGATGCTTTTCTTTTTTACCTGGAAACACAGGTGACCACTATGCTTCCGGATCGGTAGAGGCCTGTACAGCAGTCTCAGATGACGCTCTGTTTAGAGACAAGCTAAAGCACATGGGGAAATGTAAGGGACTTGTCTAAAACACCCCAGTTCACTGGAAGATAATTGTGTATTCAGGATTTTACAGGACATTAAGATTTTTGGTGCAATCTCATCTACAGCAACCAGGAAAAAGCTGTTTGAAATTGCCAGAGGGTTCTCAGAGAAGACAAAGCGGAGGAAGTCTAAAAGAAGAACGTTGCTACGGCATCATTCATATCCTTCAAAATGTGCCAGAACCATGTTAGCTGAATTCAATACAGCATGAGCTTACAAAATAAAATACTATGAGAAATCTGAATATTTTTAGAGCAAGCATGAAATAGAAATTAAGACACAGATGGGGAAGCTAAAGGAATGTGAAATATTTATAGATATAGCGTTAGTTGTGATGCTGTTTTTTTATTGTTAAACTCAGTGGCTCCCCTGTTTTGTGTTCAGAAGGATGTGAATTCCCCAGCAAATGTTATTTATGGTTCTTGGCACAGTAACTTCGGTTCAGTTCAGTTGAGTAAATTTAGTGTCGACTGTTTACTTTGACTGCACTTACAGCCAACTCCACTGCCAACCTCCTAGATGATGTGGAAGGAAACCCATGTGGTAAGACTTTCTCTCCAATGTTCCAAGCCATTTTTTCTTTACATTTCTGGGTAATTGAAAGTATATTTGCTTGGGTAGTTTTCATTGCTGAGATTGCTGAAATATTAATATTTTCAGCAGTCTCCGCAATAAACTCTACAAAGTTAGAGTGGGCTGTCAAATTGATTCATCGCAACCAAAATAAAAGTTTGTTTACATAATAAATAAATACATATGTATATGTGTGTGTGTGTACTGTATATATTTATATGTATATATAAATACACTCATACATGCATATATTTAATAAATATATACATTTATTTATATATATATATATATATATATATTAATTTAAATTACAAAAATACTGGCTCCAGATATCTATGTATGTATGTTTTTTGTATGTTGTATGGGGGGTGGTATTATAATATTTATAATAATTTATAATAATATTATAATATTTATTTAGCAGCCTTTAATAATTGAAAAAGTCCATATTATGAATTCAGTTAATTGTCCAGCACTACTTTGGAGTAAATACCTGCTTAATTTTGGAAGTCGGTGTGTCTTTCTAGATGAAGAAAGTCAGCTTAGACGATTGGCTCCTTTGTGATTGGTTTTCGGTCATTTGTATTAAACTATACATATGCTGATGCTGTTTTTTTTTCTAATTGTTTAAGCAACTTTATTAATTATATATGGTTTATAAACATTATTTTAAACATTTTTATGCACTTTTTTTCAAAGATAGTTATTTTATTACGCTTTGAAGAAACGTGCATAATATTTTGCTCGACTCATGCAGTGATTGAACCACTTTCCTATTGTATCCTTTTGTATTTTCTAAACCCACTAGAGAGGCTTTTATAATCAATAATACTGATTGATCTCATTCATATTCGTGTTCTCATTTAATCTCACTTAACTTCTATATTGGTGAACAAACACTAAAACAAATGTAATTTTTTATGTTTTCATTTGCTCCAATAGCAAAGGAAAATCCCCATTATATCTAGAAGTAACAAACCTCTTGCTAATTTCGTTCCAGATCCCTCTGTGCTCTTGGGAAATTAGGGTTTCCATGGTGACCTCAGAATGACCCATGGCTGATAGCTCCTTATCTCAGTGGCTCTGGTATTTAGCTCAGTGCCAGGCAATCGCAGACTCCAGAGGAACAGCCCACCCCAGACCAGCCGAGGCAGGACTGTACGATCATTTTGTAGCAGCCTTTTGCGAGCCTGAGATTATTGTTACCTACATTTGATTACTATTATAATTATTGTATTGTAACTGTTTGTTAATATTTGGTTTCATATGTAAAACTCAACAGGTATAGTACTGATTTCCAGCCATGTATTTTTTCTTTTTATCCATAATCATTTGGAAAGAAATTCCCTTTATGTTTGTTTAAAATATATATAATTTACCTGAGGAATTTTATTTCCCCACTTATATTTGATATGACTTGACACCATTTGAAAAGAGGCAAATGATTTGTTTATTACTGTCCACAATCAATGGTCAGTCATTTCAGCACATTAGTATATAACTCATTTCTTATTTTTAATGGACTTTCAGAGTCTAATCTGCACATTAAACATCAAAGGCATTTCCTCTAAGAATGTACTCAGAAACCTTTCTTTATCGTTGCTATTAAGAAATCATTATTCAGGTGTCCATTTAGTCTGGTGTGATTTTTAGAGTGCTGAATAGTCCAGTTCCATACTACTTTTTCATACAGTTAAATCAAAACCAATAGTTCATTCAGATGAGATGCCCTCCTTTAAGAGTAAGGCAATGCACACTTTCTATGTAATACATCCTCCATGCCAAAATTTGATTTCAGTCATTTTTACACAAAAAAGAAAGGCAAATCAAGTTTGCCTGCTTCTCATGTTTGCACTGCCATATCAGTTTTATAAAATATTGAAATACTTTTTTAAAACTGTTTCTTGGTGAAAAGTGATTAGATTGATTGAGTCAGTATAGTTGTCATCTAGACGTGTTTTTTTTTTTTTTTCAATCTTCGCAACAAACAGAACTGACATAGAACAGTTTGAATCATACTGTCCTTGAACCAACCAAAACGCTGCTGTGTGCTTTGCTTTTTTTGCAAATCACACTGAATGATTTACCCTAACTCTGTGCTTCCAAGTAGGTCACGTGACTGTGTCATAAGGTCAGAGATCTAATTGTGATCCACCAATAAGAATGTGCCATTATGTTTCTTTTAGGGTTGTGCATCCCAGTATTGATTCAGTGTGAAGTAGCCAATTGGAGGACACTGTGTGACATTGATGTTTGTTTGTATGCATTTTATGTACATCAAATTGTCCAACAGTTAAATCTGTCAGTTTGAAACCGTCTAGCACGGTATTATATGTCTAGGCTTTTTGGATTCCACCATGTTACTGATACACTTCAAGCTCCTGAAATCTACCGATATGACTATAGGAGCTTGCTAGTTTTATTTAAAGGGCATTATGTATATGAAGTCATGTTTATGTCACATCAATATGTGATTGATTTTTGCCATTATTACAAATTATATAGGTATTAATAAGCATCATTAATGTATACCACCTAATCACGTTCTGTGAAGTGTAATCGCCATTATGAAATATGTGCTGATGCGTGCATATTTGCATGATTTCTTTAGTTTTTTCCAGATCTTTATTGATGGCACAAAAAAAACAAGTCTGTAATCTGTTTTGAAAATATGAATTGAAAGAACAAAGGTTTTGTAAGGGCAAAACCTTGTTGAGAGAAATAACGCATACAGCACAGGGCCCATGTTTCCAGCTTGTACCGTTGTCGTCTGTGATTCACGGGCATGACTGTGTGAGATTTTCCCTTCCGTCCTGCTTGTTAACATATTTTATCCTCTCAGGGAACTTGCTTTGATTTCACTTTCTGCTAAAAGCACAACTCAAACTGAAAATTTGTTAGCGCAGAGGCTTCTTTAATAGGCAAGGTAGCACCATCTGTTTACCCGTCGTGAGGTTGATATGAAAGAATTCAAGGGCTGTGTGGCTGATCTCCTTCAGTATGTAGCCAAGTTCCTTTTCTTGATCACATGTGCTTGTGTGATCAAGATACCTTTTTCCATCTTTGGTTTTTGTATGGGACAGATAGGGCTGAAATCACTGGCAGATGGGTTCAGAGAGTGTTGTGTATGAGCCACAAGAGTTTGAGCGCCTCTTAACAATTAGTGGAATGTACTATTTATACTGAATTAGAAGGGAGTAAATTGTCAATTTTTTTTATATGAAATATTTAGCCATTATTTCTGTCCCCTTACTTTCTTCTGAAGAATGATTCTCAAACAAATTAAACTGACTCTTTGTCTACTTGTCCAAAATCAATGTTATTGTTCCACATCGCTATTTCAAGTTCTGGACTTTTCTTACAATGCAGACGTTTATTAGCTATTGGAATAAATAATAAAATTGTTGTACTCTGTCTAACCATGTCCTAACCATAGATAGCTTATAAGCATCTAAGATATCTAAGCACCAAATCTGCATATTAGAATTTTTTCTAAAGGATCTTTGCTGCTGAAAATTCAGCTTTGCCATCAAAGGAATAAACTATTTTAAAATATATTAAAACAGTTATTTTGAAATGTAATAATATATTATTTTTTTAACTTAATTTTTGATCAAATGAGTATGCATATATATGTGTGTGTGTGTGCGCGTGTGTGTATATATATATGTATACGCGCACGCACACACAGGTCAAATGCCATTTTGTGGTTTCATGGCATTAAAAAGGGTTTGAAAACCACTGTTCTATATAAATGCAACCAGTAGATGGCAGCACATGTCTTTATAATGGGTGTGTTTTTCCTCGATGCATTTTTGTTTTTGTTTTTTACGTTTGTCTATTAAATGATTTACCATATTTGGTTCATTACACAGTTGATTGACCTTCCCTTGATCAACTCTCTGTGAACTGGTATTCCTGGAATTACTAGGAAACCGGGCACAAAGCCCTATTCAACGACTCCATGGTCACATCACTTATCAGCCAAAGACAAAATAAAAGCGTCAAGTGAGCCACTGTGGCAAAAAAAAATAAACTCTCCTGTATCTAACACACTTATCTTTATGACACACTAAGTTGACCTTGAGGTGTTTTCCTCCTTAACACAAAATGATCTGGTAATAAATAAACATGCATTTCTCTTGACCCAGAAACATTATTCCAGAACTCTTTTTCAATCAACATTTTGCATTAGAGATAAACTTTTTAGTAGAAAAAAAATCAAATAGCTGAAACCACATATAAAGAACAAGGAGAACAGACAGACAGAACTGTAGTTTATCTGAACTGTGCTAACAGAATGTTCTGGCACGTGTTATATTGTTGATATAAATGAAACCATAACATCCATTAGCAGAAGAAAAAATATTTGAACATACTACGCATTGTATAAATGCATTAAGGCACTCAAGGCTGTGCTGTTTGTGAATACAGTCTATCTAATATGTGTCATGCCACCCTTTTAACTATATTCACAACACAGCATGGCCTTAAGAGCCTTATTGCATAACCAGAAACTTTAGAAACAATCTTAACCTCCTCCCACAACTATAAATTTAGCATACAAATTTTCTAACTATATTTCACCACCTCTAAGTCAATATTTCACGTCACTTCACAATGACAATGAATTGCACTGTGATGGTCATGTCAGTATGAATTAACAATTTTGCATTTTTATAATATAATAAGATAATATACATGTATAAATGTATTATAATAAAAGCAGTCCTATTTATGTGCAACCAATAAAATGAACATAGATATGTTCTCATAACGTATATTCTGAATAACAATACAATTATTAAAATAACCCTGAATACATCTACATTTTCATCGTAACTTTACAGAGAATCTTCAACAGGAGTTTGTGAACTACAAATCGTTGATATTTAACCCTGCAACAAAACTTTCTATGTTCTCTAAATGCTTCAGTGGGATTTATCACGACATGAACCATTAACAGGAACAACAGACCAAAAATAAAACTAAATAAATTTTACATTAAATTCCTGACACCTTTCAAGCAATTCCATCACCGAATTGGAGATTTTGTTGCTCCTTCAGAGATAAACAATTGAATTGCAGCACTGGATTAATTTAGCGCTTCATCGTTACACTCCTTTAAAGCACGTATACCACGAATCCATACCATTCATATTCTCGAGAGAACAGCCAATCAGAGGTCACGCGTAAACGGATTTCCGCGAATCAGAAATCGGTGATCCTCCGTCGCCCCGGCAACCGTTATGACGTCGCTAGAGTATCCCGCCCACCAGTGTGTGCGTTCGAATCGTTAGGAGGCACGCGGCCATTACGATACACTATATTCAAGCCGAGCGCCACGCGATTTAAGGAACTAGACTATTACTGGCTCACGTTCTTTCTTTAAATATCAGTTTTATGAAACTCAATTTGAACTTTAAATATAATATTTTTGGCTAACAGTCGTGTTTGTAAATATAGTCAGGCGTTGCGTCGACGTGAGACGCTCCGCATTCCCAGGCATTTGACTCGCCGGAGACACGCGCAGACATACAGCCTTTTCCGTTTGTTCAGCGCATT